GGAGTTGATGGCATATCAATTGACATATTTCAACAAACAGACACTGCCCTGGATGTGCTCACTAAGTTGTGCCAAGAAATCTGGAGGACAGCCAGCTGGCTGACTGATTGGAAAAGATCGATATTTGTTCCCATTCCAAAGAAAGGTGACCCAACAGAGTGAGAAAATCATCATTAATATCATATTCAAGCAAGATTCTGCTGAAAATTATCCAGAAACATTTGGAACAATATGTCAACAGAGAACTGCCAGATGTGCAGGCTGGATTTAGAAGAGGTCATGGTACTAGGGATATTATATTATAGCTAATGTAAGATAGATCTTGGCAGAAAGCAGAGAATACCAGAAGAATGTCTAGCTGTGCTTCACTGACTATGCAAAGGCTTTTGACTGTGTGGATCATAACAAGCTGTGGCTGACTCTGAGAAGAATGGGAATCCCAGAACATTTGATAGTGCTAATGCGAAACCTATACTTGGACCAAGAGGCAGTTGTCAGAACAGAGCAAGGAGACACTACATGGTTCAAAGTCAAGAAGGGGGTTCGTCAGGGATGTATTCTGTCTCCATACCTTTTCAATCTATATGGAGAACAGATCATCCGAGACACTGGGCTGTACGAGGAGGAATGTGGCATCAGGATTGGTGGAAGAATCATCAACAATCTGCGTTATGCAGATGACAAAACCCTGCTTGCTGAAACTGAGGAGGACCTGAAGCGCTTGCTACAGAAGGTCAAGGACTGCAGCCTCCTTATGGATTGAAGCTCAACAAGATAAAGATTCTCACCACTGGGCCAATTAGCAGCATCACTATGGATGGTGAAGAGATTGAGATACGTTAACAGTTTTAGTTTACTTGGCTCCACAATCAACACTCTTGGTAACAGCAGCCAGGAAATCAAGAATTATAGACCAATTACAATTATTCTGCCAATTCATCCTTGAATCAATAGAAACTTGAAAAATTTCTGCTAAGCATAAAGAGACCACCAAGATCTCCTTAACACAAAGTTACCAAGTATGCTTACTAGGATCAAATGAAAATAGATCTCAAGTACAGAATCCATAAGAAATCCAGTGCTTAATTTATGTCAGTTACTAGATTATTTTTAACATAACAAGTATTTTAAAATTGAAGTAAAATCTTAGGGATAATTCCTTTTAGTAGGAAGCAGAACTCTTCATGAGTATCAAAAATCCAAACTAAAATAACAGCATGTGTGTGTATACAAGGTGCTGTTCTATA